CTTTTCAATGGGAAATTTTTTTTTTTTTTTCTATTCTGTCATTCCTCTCCCGGGCGCTCTGGGAGCCTCCCGCTGCCGGCCGCCAAGGAGAGAAGCACTGATGTGTCTTTTTTTTCTTTATTCTGACACGATCAATGTCAGAATAAAAAAAAAAAAAAATTTTCCCATTGAAAAGCATTGGGACATTACTATTGGCTATTTCAATTTGCAATAGCCAATAGTAAACTAGCATTGTACCCGCCCTCTGCTGATGGACCTGATGGGGAACTGCAGCAGAGGGCGGGTACAATGCTAGTTTACTATTGGCTATTGCAAATTGAAATAGCCAATAGTAATGTCCCAATGCTTTTCAATGGGAAAATTTCTTTTTTTTTCTCTATTCTGACATGGATCGTGTCAGAATAAAGAAAAAAAAGGTCACAGCTGTGTTTCTCTCCTTGGCGGCCGGGAGCAGGAGACTCCCGGGGCGCCAGGGAGAGTTAGCTGTTTGGAGATCAGTGTCCCTGGTTAGCAGGTAACCAGGGACGCTGATCTCACTGCAAGTGGCTGGAGCCAGCCGTAAGATCACAGCTGGCTCCGCCCAGCTGTCAGAAGCAGGCTGTCGGGCGGCCAATGGCCGGCTGCTCGGCCAGCTTCGGCTTTCAGCACGGCTCAGCCGAGCCGATGCATATGCGTTCGGCTCGGCCATGATCGGGAGCTGTGAATAGCCCGTACAGCAGCCCTTCGGTTCTACTGAACCGAAGGGGTCCTGGGGCCGAAGCTAGCCGTAGGATCGGCTGAAGCTACGGCCAGATCCTTCGGCAGCTTCGTGAATAGACCCCTATATAGCTAGCTGCTGATAACCTTCTTTGGAAAATACCAGTTACCTAGTTGTCATCATGACTTTGTTACTTCAATTCTTTTTGAGTACTGTTCACAACAAAAAGTATACAGACAGTAAAGTCGGAGCTCCTGATCTGCATAATTGTCAGGAGAAGCAACATAGAAAATGCTGAAACTAAATGATAAGCATGACAGCCAGGAAATTGGCATTTTCTGACACCGAACAGATTCAGTTTTCACAAGAACTCCCTTACTACAAGGGTTAACTGCTAATTTTTATTTAGTTGCTAAAAAAAAAGTTATACTCACCTGAACCGCTGAGTCGGCTCCCTGCTTCTTCAGTCTCTGAAGCCTCTGCCCTCCACCACTGCACAGATGGAATGTTCCTCAGCATGCTCATGTCTATACACTGTGTATGGAACTTGATGCTTTACAGGACCTTAGACCACTGCAGCGGAGGGAGAGAGAGGCTGGAAGGACCGGTCTAAAAACAAACTGTCTCTGAGGATCAGGTGAGTATAACTTTTAGCACCTAGACAAAAACAAGCAGTTAACGCTTGCAGTGTGGGGATAGCCCCACTGCAAGGGTTAATAAAAGTTTTGCCTGGAGTTCTTCTTTAAGGACAAAAAAATGATGCACTCTACTAATAGCTACCTGTCAGATCTCAGTTCTGCAAGGCCTTGTTGAGAAGGGTTTCTTATATTTCTATTTTAAATGATTATACTCTATGAAGATCAGTATGAGAGTTAATTCTGCTGAATTAACAGATAACAGTAGGGATCGATAAAACTTTCCCAACCCTCTTGCGTAAAATGAAAATCTTCTTGTTTAATTGTTACCATTCTACAAATGGAAAGATAGTTTCTGGACTGTACCCCAATCAGATATGTGTTGCTGTAACCTTATTCCAATAATAGGTATCTTTATGTGCCTGGACAAATGAAAGCTGTCTGGTGTAGCTGTGCATGTATTATTGAATATGATTGCCCTTTAAATTGTTACTATATAAAGTCCCAAGTGCTGCCGGGGTGAGTCTGTGTGTTTATTTTGTGCTGTATATGCACAAATCACTGTGCAGCACTCATGGCGGAGACTAATTCCATTGTGGTATTTTAAAGCGTTTCAAATAGACCTCAGGCTACACAAAGGAATGTAAAGGAAAGAAACAGGATCTGAATTCCAAGTGCATTTTCTATCTGCAGAGACCGATGCAGATTAGCAGCTAATGAGTTTTTAGACAAACTACTCTGCAAATCTAAGTTTGCATATCCATATATTTCTTAACTAGTGCATGATTCGGCACTGAAATGACTAAGAAGAAGTTAACAAAGACATTTAATATGTCACTAGGTGATGAGCCTAACCTGACATGCCTTCTCCCCCGGTATCAGCAGGTACATACATGCTAGGATTTCCAGCTGCACGCTTGGACCTCTATAATACCCGGGGCCCTGGGTGTATGACCTCTTTTCTTATAACACACATCTTGTTCAGAAAGGCCAGTTAGTGGGTAGAGAAATGTCATTGCAAGGGGAGGGGGGAGACTCATATTCAAGCAATCTAGCAAAATAAAATGTGTATGCATCAAAAAGCGTCTTAATGTATTCGACAATGCTGCAATTAAATGTCCTGGCATCTTGACATGCTATAGAAAAGAAGGGTGATAAGCAAATAGGATGTCATTCATAGTAACCAATCAGTTTATCTGTATCATCAGCAACTGCTTTTTTATTTTTTTCCCTTGAAAGCCAGAAATCTTTTAATACTTTTTTGCTATTCCTATTATTATTATACAGGATTATATAGCGCCAACAGTTTACACAGCACTTTACAAGATAAACGGCGATAGTACAGTTTCAATACAATGCAAGATAAGAGGGCCCTGCTCGGGAAAGCTTACTTTGCAGCATATGCCTGACATTTTTTGCAATATACAGCATGCTCACCCTGAGCTAAGTGTATATGCCTTTTCAGCAAGGCAAAGTTCTAGCTCAATTCACAAATGTTAGCGCGCGCACACGTGTACCATTTTTGGCTTGTTTGTCGCTGGTCCTCATAGGAAAGCCCATTTATTTCAATGGGCTGCCCCATGTGAGAAAAATGCATATCTTTCTTACTGCCTTTGGGGTGCCATTAACAAAGCATGTTTTTCCTGCGTTTTTTTAAACATAGGCAAAATTGTGCAATTTTCTGCTCATTCATGCTCGTGAATTTTCTGTTTTCAGTGAACTGAGATCTGAATGGCTAGTATAGCTCACAGTACTTTGCACACCATCACTGAGCTGTACTGAATACCTTTGCTTGTCTGGATCTCTTGATCTCAGCAACCTGTGTTTGATTACATAAAAAGAGACTATAAACAAGATACATATGGCTTCAAAAGCAACATGTTCCACAGAAGCTTGTTTTCATTTGCTAGGAATTCCAGCAAAATTTTTGTTACAGAACAACAGAGAGTTTCTACAACCTGAAGAGTCAGGCAGAAAAAACGTAGTGGCTGCACAATATACAGTGCACTGATGAATATAACATCATTTCCTTTTTACATTCAGCAATCCAGCAAACCGGACTGTCAAGGTTTCCTTAAATTCACTGAGCTGGCAGATGTGATGTAATTATTTGAGCAGAGACTGTTTCCATAGGAGGACCTCCAGAAAGAGGCACATGAAAAGGCTACTTTGGACGGTTGTGTTATTACACTCGGAATTAACCATTGATATGAAATGACTCATTCTAGGGAGATTATCCGGCAAATCAAAATGTAAAATGATATTGAATGCTTAGTTAATGTAAACAGGGTCTGATTTAACCATTGCATTTATTGAATGATGCATAATTCTTTTTAACCCCCCCTTTCCCCTAATACAATCAGATTTTCAATAATGTAAGCAGCAGGCAATTCAACGCACAACAACAATCCTCATCCACAATCCATAATTTGTGAAACTGCAGAGCCTCCCAAGATATAAGTCATTCTCACAAATGCCCCATAGACTTATAATACAAGCAAAAAGTAAGTCACTCATCACAGGATTTCCTCTTTGTGTCTGAAACTGTGTGGATTTAACATGTCTATTCAGGGCAGGAGATGCTGCCTATCATAAGTGTTTGCATTCCTCTGTCCCTGCCAGTACTCAGGCCACACAGCATCCAAGCTCTGCACTCAGACTCACCGCTCTATAAGGGTGACCCTCCTCAGACACAGGATTTTGAATCCATGTTGCAGGAAAAAAGACCCCTTGAAGCTCAGCAATATTCCCCGTGTGCTGAAACTTCTCTCTCAGTCTTCCCTTCCCCTCCTGTCTCCTCCTCCTTTCTCAAACTTTATTTTCCACCCCTCTTTTCCAGACTCTCATCCCCCTTCTCAGCTTACTATCTCCCAATCTGTCCATCTGTTTTTCTTGCTTTTCTTTTATCTTCCCTTCTTTCCTTTTCTCTGCCTCTCTTCCATCACTCTTCACTGGCGTTTTAATAGTTTCCAAGAATAATACAAATCGCTTTTTCGTCACAATGCACAATGCTGACTTTCATAGTGCTGACTTGGCTAACTTGTAGGGCTTTTCTACATAAAAAAGGCAAGTGCTATCAATCAAGAAACACAACATGTTGGATGCATTCGATAATGCTGCAATTAAAGTGACACTAAACTCAGGAGTTAAACCTTAAAAATGCATTCCCTAACTATTAACAAAAATGTATCTTATTTGTGTATCACTCAGCTGTAGATACTCAAATCTTCTCTGAATTCATACTCACACTGTCCTTCCTTCTGGAGGGTGGCTACTTTTGTTCCCCATGGTCCCTGAATGTGTTGTAAATTAGCCATTGCTCCAAGCTCACTCCTGTGATTGACTACAATCTCAATACAAATTAGCTAACTAAACATGAGATTGTAGTCCATCACAGGAGTGAGCTTGGAGTGGTGACTACTTTACAACACACACAGGGACCATGGGGAACAAAAGTAGGAACCCTCCAGAAGGGCAGTGTCAGCACCAATTCAGAGATGATTTGAGGATACACAAATAAGATACATTTTTGTCATTAGGTAAAGTACACAAATGCAGTTTCAAGATTTAAAGTAATATTAAAGTAAAATCGTTTGGCATATATCTACTGCTGGTAAGCAGTAGATATTTGCATCAACATAAAAAAAAAAAAAAACTTGGTACATACCAACAAACTTACCTGTGTCCACGCTGCCCGCTTCCGTCTGCAGAAGTCCCAGCTCCCGAACGCTGTGAAAGAAGGAAGTGTGGGCGGGCGCATGCGCAGTCCAGATCACTGGAGGGGAGGGGAGGAGAGCAACGCCGAAGCTGAATGGACGCAGCCACATCAGACAGACACCATGGGACACAAGGAGTCTGCACTGGATCAGAGACCAGCACCAGCACTGGAGGGACTGTGGAAAACGAGTGGAAGGAAGAAGCTCTTCGAACCAAGAAGCATCACATAAGGTAAGTCCTTGCATCAGCATGGGGGGCTACTTCTTTTAATGTCACTTTAGCTGCTGAGTTTAGTGTCACTTTAAATGTACTGATGTCTTTACATGTTATAGAAAAGAATGTAATTCATAGTAACCTATCAGTTCTTTTTACCTTTGGTTACTGATTGGGTATTATAGGCTACTGCTTTTTTATTCTTTGCCTTGAAAGCCAGATTACTTTTTATCCTTTTTACTGTTGTTGGATACTAATTAAAAACAGATATGTGTTTGGATTTATCCACACTGTGTAAGTTTTTCTATGAGATAAGAAATTCCAGGAACTCCAGGAAAACAGTTAAATGTACAGATGAAATACATAGAAGGGAGCAACCTTTTTATTTGCTCCTGGAAGGGCTGCCCTTTGGATAGAGCTCTCAGGATCCCATCCCCCCTCCTTTCCCTTTACCCACCTAACCCCATTATTATTTTTATGTTGTTGCTTGGCTCTAATATATATGTACAACTAGTATACTCGGTCACTCTGTACTCTGAAAGAATGAACATACTGTATGCCTGCCGGTGGATTCATGTGCTCTGAACAATTATGCCTTTGGTCTAACATATGTATGTGATGTTCTATCTAGTTAAAATTCATGTGTACTAGTGCTGTACATGTTATGGCCTATGCACAGGTTCACACCTACCTAGCGATGGACCTATCTATCAGTTCACTTGTATGTGTAATAACTTTTCTGATGTATGCAATGTGTACACATTGTTATTCATGTATTTTTCTTACAGATACCAAATAAAAATGATTAAATGAGAAATACATAGAAGAGAGCTGTGTTACCTGCTGAAGGATTTTTAGTTTTGATTTTTCTTCAGGTAGAATACAAATTAACCCTTGAAGTGGAGCTACCCCCACACTGCAAGGGTTAAGTGCTAATTTTGGTTTAGGGTCTAAATTAAATTGCTTACCTGATCCTTGATGCCTGGCTGCTAGACCGGTCCCTGCAGTCTCTCCTCCCCCAGATACCGGTACTCTAAGGACTCATGAGTCATCACATCTAATACAGTGTGTTAGCCATGAAGACAAGGGACATTTCACCACCAGAGTGGAGGGGGAGAGTATGAGTGGTCGCTGTCCAGGATTGTGGCTCAGGTGAGTATATATTCCTTATTCAGTCCCCTAGAGAAAAACTAGCAGTTAACCCTTGCAGTGAGGGGGTAGCCCCACTGCAAGGGTACATTTTTATTCTGCCCAGTTCTTTATGGACAGTGGGGCTTAGATAATGCATCAGAGGAATTCTATCCAAGAGAACTGAGATGAAAGTATATACAGAATGAGCTAGCGACATAAGGAGACTCTGTATACTTGGTTGGATGGGAAAACATTTATGGTGACACCACACTGATAGAATTTCAGGATCAAGGACAAGGATCAGAAAGAAAAGAAGTTACCAAATTTGCTGCAGGAGCTTATTGAGTACTAGAGATTTTCTTTAAAGACAAGCTTAAGCCAGGATTCAAAAATGTTATAAAACAAAAAACTCTAAAAGAAAGTAAAAGGCTTTGTGGAACATTCCTACAAGTGCAGATAGGGCAGCCTGTGTGTGCACCATGGTGTTCACAGAACATAAAGTGGAAAAACTAAAATTAGCGAATATGCAACAAATTGTCAATCTCAGAAATGATGTGCAGGTAGAGCTGCTACCTGGATGTAAAAAATTGTACTTGTTGCCAATGCTACTGCTAGAGAAGACATCAAAAGGCTTGTATTGTTTACCAAAAAGTTGACAACCTGATGTGTAGCTCCAGTGCTACTACATCTCATGCAGTATGGTAAACTATTGTGAAACATCTGCTGGACTTAATGTCAACACCTAAAAAGATGACTTTCTTGTGACACAAGGAAGCTGCTTTTGGCAGCGTTGGTCACTCTGAACAAGAAACATGCCGTTTCTTTCCAAGACTAGGCAAGTGTGGATAGGTGGTGATTCAGATCCATCAGACAACTGCAAATTAAGATCCTACAACCAAAACGTTTTCTGAGATGTGTGGACAGTAAGTGGGAGAAAAGTTTCCTAGAGACCCAAGTGGACCTATTACATGCCTTGGTCCCAATGTGCTTGCAAATGTCTATGGACTAAAGTTAAGCGACTGATGATTGTAATGTACACAACTGACATGGATTGTGATACTGAATAGCGTATATTTATGCACTGGATAGCAATAAAGAAAATAAAAAGGCATTATGGGCTGCTAATAGGCCCAGTGGCCAATGGAGTTAAAGACAATTAGTTTGCCCCTAGCTGAACAGCCAATCACCCTCTTTAGTATGCTGGTTCTGCCAGAGTTCAAGGGATGCAGTAAACAAGGATACCATGGATTCTAAATTCTCCAGAAGTGAAACTGCCTACACCCAGAATGGACATTGTTTCTTCATGCAGTAACCTCCAAGATGACTAACTTCACTGCAGGATTTTAGAGATGTAATAAAGAACACCATTGTGCACACACTGGCTGCCCTATCTTGGCAGCAGGGATGTTCCCTCAACCACACTGACAATACTGCTTAGGGAAGAGGGCTTCCCATTGTACGTGAGAGGGATATAAATCTACAATGTCATTATTTAATGTGTTTTTGCTTTAACATGTTATAGTTTTCTATTGCTTATATAAAGCAGACTTTGCATTCCGCTGTAGAAAAAAATAGCTGTGGAGTAAAATTAGAAAATATACTTTAATGTATACTTTTATGCATTAACTTTGACATAGTAGTGCTGTGGAGTGATGATTTTTATGAGAGCATTAGCACTTGCTGTTTGCCTGTGGTTAGAGAGAGTGGCGTGGCTGCTCAGCAGCCAAAAGTTGCAAGCCCAGTGTGTTAGAAACCCAACTCTGATCTAGTCTCATTTTGTGCTACTATGGGCAACCATCAGGAGGCTTAAAAAAAGCCCTGCATGGCATGACAGTTGGAGTGAGTCTGTTGATGACTTAAACCTAAAGGACAATGTAGACATATAACAGACAACTGTGAGAGAGTGCAAACATCTTCCTCCTCTTGGTGTGGGAGCTGAGAAAAGATTTGCTTTTCAAGTAAACTTTGCCTAACACACAATGTAGCTGTTCTTTCATTACAGTAAGCTGCATAAGAAGACATTATGTTATAACAAAGCAACATTTATACAACATAACTTCATCCAAGCCTTTAAAAAAGAACCCTGGATCTTTCTGTAAGGCTTTTTTAGGTGGACATCTAGAGACCAGAACTGCTGCTCATCCCTTACATTTGTAAAAGCAGGTGTCTTGGGGCCTTCTACACAACACTGGTAGTGATTCTCCTAGGTCTTCCAAGTGTCTTCTGTTTGAAGGCTTCCTTCCTACAAGGAAAATAATTATAAGAGGTGATGGGGACAGAAATGCATTGCTTGAGCAACTTTCAATTTTCTTCCCATCTACATACATATGGTTCTTGGTGCCCAGTCTGTATGGATAATATATTGGCCTACTGACATAATCCAATGGTATCCAAACTCAGCAAGAAGATAGATAAGGGAAACTATGTGTACTTTAGTACTGGTTTCAGTCATATGATGATGGTTGTCTGGTATCATGTTGGTCAAAAAGCTATGCGTTTTCTGAACATGTGTGACCCCTGAATGCTAAACTGGAACTAGCTAGAATAACATAGTTTGGGAGTGGCATGGGTTACGACATAATAAAATGGGGGGAAAAAATGCTATGTTTAATATTCTTTCCAGTCTATCCCATTCTACCAGTTCTGTACTAAATTCTTCTCTACCATTTATAATTTACTAAAGTTGCAGGCGGCTGCAAAACTCTTGGGTTTTTCTCTGTGGCT